ATGAAGGGAGGACCTTGCGATGGTGGTGTCGCCCTTTCCAGCCATGGTGAACGGAACACAGGGCATGGTACGGAACTCGCTGGAACATGGCGTGAGGGTGCTCCGGTGAAGGTTTATAGAAGAAAAACGAAGGCCTTAGATGATGATTATGGATAATTAATGACAGATGCGGGGAGAGGGTTTGAGATTGATGTATATAGTGGCGTGAAAAGTTTGAGAAGCTTAGGTTACGGCGTGAAGAGAAATATGAAGAGAACAAATAATAACTCATGTTTTTGCTTGATGAGAAATATAATGAGAAAATAATAAAATATATCTCCTAATTTGTGTAGGATTAATGCCATCAGTTTGAGGCTTGGAAAAACACTTTAAAGGAAGAGGTTGATTTAAATCCACAAAATAATGCCAAAAGTGCTAAAGGTTCATTTGATTTGTAAATGAAATAAGTGGAACCATTAACTTAAGAAAAGGTGCGATTAAATGAGCTCAAGAATCGACTCATACAGATGGATTTTTGTTCCTCAAAATGCATCAGTTAAGCTAAGGAAAAGCTGGCACGGGTCCTGGTGCACGGGTTTGGGGCACGAGTCTCCTCTTGAGCTCGACAATATTAAATAAGGCTCGGTTCGATCGTGCGACATTTGGGAATAAATAAATCAACCGGATATATATATCACACAATAATATATATAATAATTCAAGGAATAAATACAATTAGACAATTAATACAATTAAATATAATAATAGCTCCTAAATAATATTCTGAAATTTCAATAAACAGATGGGCTTTCACATTCTACATAATAAATATAATATCATAAACAAAATTCGATAAATAGAGTAATCCGAAAAATTCTATAAATCAAACGGGGCCTTACAGTCTATCCTCCTTAAAAGATTTCCGTCCTCAGAAATACGAAAGAACACGCATCTAAAGGAAAACGACAGACTCAAGCAGAAATTTTCAATCATGAGGTTCGGGTACCTCCTCCGGGATCTGATTCCGCTTGCATGAGTCCTTATCGCCCTATACTCGAAAAACATACACTCACATACAGGAGTCAATCCGACTCGCCCTATGCTCATATGTTTGCATTATTGCATGAGAGGCTGATTAATCCTGCCCGAGCTTAGGCACGCATCCTCTTACAAGAAACTCAGCCCGACTTGGCCTATACCCATGAGTATCACCAATTAACTTCGTACCTAACAACACACAAGGCCTCAATAGGTCGTTCGGTGTATTGCCAGCGTACTCCGTCAATCTCACCAACAAGGTGGACACGTGACGCCAAATTTCAGTCTCGTATCCGAGTCATACTGATAACTTGCTCACGATTTTATCAAGTACCGAGTGTCTCCATCAGACTCTATGACACGGTATAGAGCACACCCCAGATGCTCATACCCACACGATATTAACTCCACGAGTCGAACACAACCCTTATGTGCAAACATAAGGATTAACCAATAGCAATACGACATTCCCAATTTGCCCACTCGAGAAACTCTCTAATAAGGCATAGGGACTCATTGACTACTCTCTTTAATCAGAAATCATCGATTAAGGATTTACACACATTTAGTGGGACTTGGAGCTCTCGGTTCAAGGTTCGGACGAAAGGGGTTCAAAAGAATAACCAAGTATTCTAGTATGAAACGGTTTCAACAGTTCAGGAAAAACATCGATGGTTGGCCGTATACACTGGTCTGGAGAGTTTGTGCGTACGGTGATGGCGGCTGCAGTTCGCATGCGAGTCAACGGTCGGCCGCGCGCAAGCCTCCCATCTCTCAGCACGGTCGTGCATGCTCGACCACCACTTCGCATGGCTACACCCAGCCAAGGTCGGATTTTTGGGTTCAAGGTACTGAGAAGAAATCCTCTAATTTAAGGGTAAACATCTCCAAGGTAATCGAAACGAAAAGGGGTTCTTCACAAAATTTGATCGACAACAATTTGGGGTTTAATCAAAAACGATTTTTCCCATCATGTAGGTATAGAACAACTCCAACAGTTTCAAGGGTTTCAAATTTAATTAAGGCATAAACCGAGTTCCAAGTCCACTACCTTCCAACACAATCTTCAGCTGTCACTACCGAATAATGAACGCTTAACTCATTCGACTCTTCCGACGAACAGGGTCAGTTGTCACGTTAACTCTCGGTCAAGCAGCTAACCGTGTCAGCAGTCTTAAATGAGCTTCTAAAGATACATTGAATGAACATCAAAAGTTAAGGTGGCTATGCACTCCACGATTTGCTTGCCCCAGAATCGACTATCCTCCTCAAAAGATTTCACCATAACCCTTTTTAAGGAGGAAAAACAGTCTTTGATATGCGTCGACTTAGAGGTATCACAAAACAGGTTTTGAAGACAAGGATCAATAAAAATACCGATACTCAATTCTGTCTGAAGCTCCATGCTAAGAAGGAGAAGATCAAGCAAATTATCAAAACACGAAAATTGGATGACGAAGGAAGCTTCAAGCACAATTCAAAATTGCTTGCCATACAAAAAGGCAAGGGTTTGCAAAAGGCTATAAGAAGACAAGAATTCAAAAATGGAACAAGGTTGCCTCGCATCCACGAGTTCACGATTCACCGCCTTCTTCATCGGTTCAAGTTGTTCCCAGTAAGTCCTGCTGCTGCTAGAAAATCGCACGCGGCTTAATATACTGAAGAGGATCTTCGAAAAAGGATAAGTCATTATTGCCTTTGACTGGGTTCTAATCACGCATCTAATGGTCCTATTGACAATGGTTACAGACTCCTGAATACCCAAACGACTGGGACTCTCTGGTCGTCTGCTCCCTTCACTTAAGCCTTCTCCTTTCGAGATGGCATTACTAAGAGTCCTCACTTGAGGACACCAAGTCTTATAGCGAGAGCACTGCCATAAACAGAATTCAACTCGATAACATTATATCGAATTTCCAAACAAACAATTTCTCAAGTCGGGACTTAACTATATACAACTAGAGTTCAAGTTCATACAACTAAGTTCACACTCATCTAAAGTTCTATAACGTTTAAAAGCAGGAGGATAAATTCCTAAGCTCCGATTTCACTTCAATAATAAATATTCAAGCTATGCACAAAAATCATTCAGGTACTCATACCTGAGCTGGCGCGGCACGACGAGAGTGAGTGATCATAACTTGAGTAATGCTCCCTTATGTAATAGCCCACTATGTTATTAATGTAAATTACGTGTTTAGTTCCAAAATATTTATTTTATCGATCATTATCATTCGAGACTAATTATTCAAGTCAAAAATGATCGAATTAATTTTTGAAGTCATGTTTATGCTCGGAATAATTTTTAAATATTTGAATTCATGTATTATAAGTTAATCCATGCTTAATTGCTCGATAAAAGTATTACTGACCCTTATCGCCTTAATCGTGCGCTAATCGCCTATCAAGCGGCCTAATCGGCCATTAAATCAAGCAAATGCCTTGCATTATCGAAAGGTTATGCCAATTGTGTTTTATTATGACTAACGTATGCTAAGTGCCGAGAAATCCCATTTACCGTGCGGTCATGCTTGGCTTAGTACAATGGCCCATTAACTTAGCACAAAGCACGCTTAGGCCGTGCTTAGCCCAAATTGCCGAGAGGTTTGGGAAAAATGTCATGTGCTTTCATCATTTCCTACTTAGCTTATGTGGCATTTTCAGAGCATTCATGTGATGACTAAGTATTCTCCCTATGTGCCACATATACCATGACTAAGCACAAGGAAGCCACCTAAGGCCCCAAACGTCCGGCACATGGCGCAAGCCAATTGGCCACGCCAATTATCTGCATTTTTTTATCCCATTTCATCTTCAATTACCGTACTATATATCAGAGATGTTGGGTAAATTTTATCCTACATTAAGCTAAATACTAAGCAAGAATTAAGAGAGATTAAGATATTTTCCTTATCGCACGCACGACCGAGCTAGGACCGAGCGATCTCGAAAGTTTTGCAAAATTGACCGAGCAATCGAGGGGGTAATCTCTTCTTGACTCTATGTTAATGTAAATATTATCATGTTAAGTTCAAAACAAGTAGTTAAACTCATGAATAGGCCATGTTTGTTCTTGATTGTACCATTTAAGCCATGCCAAGCCATGTCCATTTTTATTTGGCAACTCCCCAGCGATTCACGTTCCATTAGTTATTATTAGATATATTATGTTCAGTCATGTATCAATTGTTCCGAGAAATTTTCAAACGGTCGAAGGAATTGCTTGAAGTCGTGGACGACGAACGTAGCGCACGCCACGGCCGATCCAAGTTTCATCGGGCTTATTCATGATCCTCAGAGCAATTTATGTATTATTGGTCATTTAATATCATGTTATGATCATCCATGTTGTAATCATCGGAAACATTGCCGGACGGTCGGCAAGGGCCGGTCGTAGTTGCCATGCTCGCACGCAGCGGGCACAGCGTACCGGCAGTCAAGCAGGTCGGGCGGGTGATGTGCGTGTATGCCCGATCGGGTGTCGCGAGGAGTCACTGCCCGCGTCAGTCGACAGTTGGTTAGTGCCTAGTGCATGCCGGCACGTCCCAACGCACGCCAGTGCGCTCAACTGCATGTCAGTCGGCCTCGGATAGTGCCCGACAACACGCCCGAGCGTCATGTGCCGTCAGGGTTGCCTGGTAGCACCCGTACGGTACCAGTTAATGCCAGCCAGCGCCAGTTCGCGCGTCCAAGCGTCCAGTCGCCTGTCCGCGGTACCAGTCGCGCCCGACAGTGCCCAGTTGCCATGCCAGGAAGCCAGTCGACCGTCGACGATGCCTAGCTGTGCCCGATGGCTGTTCCATGAATACGCGCATTGCGCCAGTCACACGCCAGCACCTAAGGTCATGTCCAGTCAGCCCAGGCTAACGCTTGTTGTGCCTAGCGAGGTTCAGTCTACGCCGGCTGTGCCCAGTGGCACGCCAGCGTGCGCGGACGCCCATGCCCGTGCCAGTCACAATCGGTGAGGCCCGAGTGTGCCTAAGCCGAGCCCACTCCATGCCAGCAACCGCATACGGGCTTCAGCAGGCCCAGCACGGGACCGAGCCGGTTGGCCGAGCCAGTGGCCGACCGCCCGGCCACAGCAGGCCGGCGGTCCGGCCAGCTAGTGAATCGACCAGTTCAGACCGGTTTATCACATGTTTTAGTACCCAGTTCATGTTCATGTCAGAATTTCAGTTAAATTCTAAGTCCAGTCCAGTTCAGTATAGTCATGTCAACCCGGTTCCATTTTAATCAGTTCCAGTTATACCAGTTAAGTCCAGGTGTCATGCGAGTTCGAGTCGAGCATTTTAACATTTTAACAAGATATTTTAATCAGTCTGAGCATAGTACTTAGTATTTGTTTATATCATGTTACAGTTTGAACAGTCCACAGTCATCAACACTACCATTTTCATATCAACGGTTCAGGTGGGGACTCAGACTGGGTATTACATTGATTATAATTACCTACTATGTTTGAGGTGTGTATCATGCTATGTATCCGCTTAGAAAGGTAGCTAGTCCAGGTGCATAAACCCATTCTAGGTTTTAGTGGCTTTATCTGCCCACTAGAGTGTGCACATGGTGTCCAACACGTTTGTGTTGGCAGATATTGTAGCTATGCTACAGCTATGCTATGCCATGCCATGCCATGATTATTATATTGTACCGGTACCACATTTCTACATGCTATTGATCATGATATCGCAATTATTTTCACTGTTTACTTTAGTATGAGTTCCTACGGAGTACAGTGGATTTTAGTGCTCACGCCCCATGTTTATTTATGTTTTTCAGGTCACAGAGTCGGACCGGAGGTGTGAGCTGGCGGGCAGTTCAGGGTCATGTTTATTCAGTTTTGTATATATGTTTTGCCACGCTATGCTTTCCGCTGACTTTTACTGTTTGTCAAACTTAGCCGTTTTGGTCTGATTTACCAGTCGGATTGTTTATATTATGACAATCCATTTTTCTTAAACTAAAATAATATATACGGATTTCAAAGCAAAGTAATAAATTATGGTAGCACTCCGAGTCGCGATTTCGCAAACTAATAAGTATTTTTAAGAAAATATTTTGCAAAAATTTAACTCTGATATTTATGACATAGCGGGGTGTTACAGTTTGTATCAGAGCACGTTTCTACATCTCTGAATACTTTTATGAGTTAAAATTTTTTATAAAACCCGACCACGTCACGCTCACGCCCCGCCGACTACATGTAAGTGCTGATTCATGTTTTAAATTATAAACAAATAACTATGTCTATGCTCAGTAAAATCCACAAATATGAATAAGTTAGGATGCTCGAGTCATGTTTAGGATTTATAGTCCAGTGTATCCATGATTTAATGCCAGTATTTCCGGGCCAAGTTAGCGACTCGTCAAGAAATTTGTGTGTTTATCACTCAGTTAATGTATCATGTTATGTCATATTTCTATGTTTAATCATGTCGAACTTTTCCAATATTCAGATGCCGCCACGTAGGGATCCAGATCATCAAGAGGTTCCCCAGGCCACCGTAGTCGCTCAGTTTCGCGACTACCATCCAGAGAAATTTTCTGGCCAGGGAGATCCCCGAATTGTTGACGAATGGGTTCAGGGCCTTGAAATGATTTTCGAGGTCATGGACTGTCCCGACTATTATCGCGTTTTATGCGCACAGATCCAATTGACGGGTGACGTATGTCTTTGGCGGAATGCCTACTGGGGAATGCGACCCGGCGAAAAAGAAGGTTGTACGTGGGTTAAATTCAAAGAGTTGATTCGCGAGAAATATTATCCTACGTACTATCGAGCAGAAATGGAACGTCAATTTTTGGCGCTTAAACAGGACAATCATATAGTGGACGAGTACGAGAGAGAATTCACTCGACTTGGAGCCTTTGTCCCCGATCTGGTGAGCACAGAGGCAAAGAGATCGAGACGTTTCACTGACGGGCTTTTTCCAGTAGTCCGTCATAACATTTTAGGCCATGGAGTTCAGTCCTATGCCTGTTCCGTTACTATAGCACAGGAGATGGACGCAAGAATCCAGAGGGAGGCCAACCATTATCGCCTTCAGCCAATTGCCCCTGACCGAAGGACAAGAAGAGGAAGGGGAAAGGCTTCCAGACCGATAGGAGGATCCTTCCGAGACAGCCAGGTGCAGCCAAACCGTAGCAGATTCCACCATGCACTACTTGTGGACGACTCCATCGTGGAGAGTGTCATTTCGATCAGGATTTTTGGTATTACTGTCACCAGCCCGGGCATTTTGTCAGCAACTGCCAGAGCGACCGCAACCACGACCGCAACCACCACAGCAGCCACAACAACAGCAGCCCAGACAACAGGCCCCGATGCCACCCCAGCAGCAGCAACAAGGTAGACAGCAGGCTCGTGTTTATGCTGTAGACCAGGCCGAGGCAGATCAGCACCCAGGTACTATGTCTGGGATGATTATGTTAAACGATTTTCCTGTTTTCACCTTATTTGACACCGGAGCAACTCACTCTTTTATATCACGACGATGTCTTGATGCCATTAGAGTACATTCTATTACCGTTGTCGATCCTCTCGAGGTGAGTTTAGCCTTGGGACGAAAGATAGTGACCGATGCCAAAGCTACTGATCTCAGTCTTTCTATCGGTGGCCGTATCTTGACTACCGACGCTTATGTTCTCAAGATGAGGGACTTTGACCTCATTCTCGGTATGCATGCAGATATTCGATGTCATGACCGGGAGATTACTCTTTATCTTCTGGGAGACGATCATATTACTTTCTTTGGCACCAAGACTCGTTCTTTACCTCATGTTATTTCTATGGCGTAAGCCAAAAAGATGTTACGACGAGGTGATTGCCAGGGTTATCTTGTGAGCCTTGTCAGCGATGAACCGAAAGCACGGACACCTCACGACGTTCCTATTGTTCGTGAGTTTGTGTATGTGTTTCCGGACCAACTTCCAGGAGGACCACCTAACCGACAGGTAGAGTTCTCTATTGATCTTATTCTAGGAGCCGGCCCCGTATCCAAAGCAACATACCGAATGGCGCCAAAGGAGTTACAAGAGTTAAAGACTTAAATCCAGGAGCTATTGAAACTCGGTTTCATTCGACTGAGTGTTTCACCATGGGGATCACCCGTTCTTTTTGTTAAGAAGAAGGACGATTCTATGCGCATGTGTATTGATTACCGGGATCTCAACCGATTAACTATCAAGAAAAAATATCTGCTTCCCAGAATTGACGACTTGTTCGACCAACTCAGGGGAGCCTGTGTATTTTCCAAGATCGATTTACGATCAGGTTACCACCAGTTGAAGATCAAGGAGTCAGACATTGCAAAGACCGCTATTCGTACCCGGTACGATCATTACGAGTTCTTAGTTATGCCATTTGGCCTCAATAATGCTCCAGCAGTATTTATTGACCTGATGAACCGTATATTCCATCCTTACCTACATCAGTTTGTGATTGCTTTCATTGATGATATTCTAATCTACTCCAAGAGCCAAAAGGAGCACGAGGAGAATCTTGGCCATGTTATCACTCAGGCATGTATAGAGGTTGATCCATCCAAAGTTGCCGCTGTTCAGAATTGGTCAACGCCAAAGAATCCATCCGAGGTTCGCAGTTTCCTCGGTTTAGCAGGCTATTATCGCAGGTTTATCGAGGGTTTCTCCAAGATTGTCCTTCCTTTATCTCAGCTGACGAGGAAATCTGTGAAATTCGAGTGGACTGATTGATGTGAATCCAGTTTCCAGGAGCTCAAAAAGAGGTTAACCACAACACCAGTGTTGACTATTCCAGATCATTCTCGGAGTTTCACCATCTTTAGTGATGCTTCAAGACAAGGTTTGGGATGTGTAATCATGCAAGATGGTCAGGTCGTTGCTTATGCTTCACGCCAATTAAAGCCTCATGAACAGAATTATCCTACGCACGATGTAACGCCCCGTATTTTATTAATAAAGGAAAATACTAGCTTTTAGTTTTAAGCTAGCCTTTGTTAATAAATAATCATGTTCATGTTCAAAGTTCGAGTTAATCAGCTAGTTATATTCCAAGTTCGACTATTAGTCGATAAATTATTCGGTTTAATTATTTAAGTAACCGAATAAGTTTCCAGATTTAATTCTGATTCGTTTATTTAATTAATGAGTTCGGAATTAATTATTCAGTCAGGAATATCCCGTCAGATTAATAATATAAATCATGTTTTAGTTCCGATATAATAATATTTTTTTTTCGAGTATTATTTTCGGAATTAATTATTTTCAGTCGAGATTACCCGAAATTATTTTCGACGTTCCGTTTACGTTCGGAATAATTTGGTAATTAAGTATCATGTTTAGTAATTAATTAAGCATAAGATTATGGTTAATTATTAATTAAGCATGTTCAAGTGCTAATTGCCGTGAGCAATTGGATTTATGGAGCAAATTTTCCCATTTTTCTTTCCAAATGTCGTGGCTATTCTAAAGACTAGTTGAGGAAAATTTCTCTCTTCCAATTACCATGACGTGTCATCATGAGGGAACTCATTAGATGACTAATCTTTACTATGGATGACTAAACATCCTTAAATCTCTAAGCTTGGCAAGTGGCATGAAATTAGAATGATACCAAGCCATCTATTTCCCCAATTTCGGTCATGATATAAATGGGGGGAACTTGGGGAAAATTTCAGCATTTTTCTTGAGTGTATGGTAGTATATTGTGAGGCTAACTTTAGAGTTCATCGCAAGCATTCACGCCCGAGAATACTGCATGCTAGCGCCGAGGATACCGCACGCACACGGGAGTCCGAAGAGTGGCTATCACTTGAGCGATATCGGAGCTAATTCCCGTGTTGTTATGGGCTGAGATTAGCATATTCCTTTAGTTCAATTTTTAGTCTACGTTCATATGCGTGCCCTATATCGACTCAGCCGTGCGTGTCATTTATGCCAAGTCATGTTATGTCTTAATTCAAAATCTCTCGAGCAACTTCGCATATCTAGTTATTGTATGCAAAATCATGATTAGTCAGATTAGATTGTTCGGGGAAACTTCATGTTTAAGTGGTCATTTGGCCAAAGTCGTGGTCGCGCACGTAGCGCGTACCGCGGGCCATCACGTCTCATGCCATGTTAGTTCCTATTGTTGTTGTGTTTGTTCGAGCAACTCATGGGTTATTGATCATGTTATGTTATGTTACGTTCAGTGGTATGTTAATTGTCGAGAGAAAGTTAGGTTTGGCGTAAAACGGCTTAACGTCGTCGGCGGCGCATGGTGCGCCCGCCACGGCCGAGTTCAGCTTATTGTGCAAAAATTCATGTTTTTAAGTAAATTCAGTACTTATGGTCATGTCAAGTCAGATTATGTCCTTTCATGTTGATTTGCTCAAAGGAAGTTGCCAGACGGCCGGCAAGGGCCGGTCGTGGCCGCGCTGCCTGCACGCAGTGGCAGCAGCGTGCCGGCAGTCAGCCATCGCGACAGGCAGCTTGCGCACAGGCCGCATGGCGTTGCGCACTGCCTGTCCGCAGCAGCAGTTGCTGGCAGTGCCCAGCAGCACACCAGCCAGTCACCGTGCACGCCAGCGTGCGCGTGCACGTCCCAGTGCCTGCTACGGCGCGCGGTAACGCCCAGTAGCGTCAGTTGTGTTTGCACCCGCGCACATAGCGCAGGGCAGCACCCAGTCCAACGTCTGTGTTGCGCCAGCCCACGCACACGCCTCAGTTAGCCTGCAGTCGCGCCCAGTGGTGCGCCAGTTATGTCCAGTGGCCACCGGTGCGCGCCAGCACGCATGCCCGTGCCCAGGTACTGCCCAGCAGCCGTCAAGCACGGCCAGTGCAGCCATGCCCGCAGCCAGCCAGGCAGCGCCTGCGCGCGCAGCCTCGGAAGGCCTGCTGGCCGATCCAGTGCCCGACCGTTCGGTTCAGCAGACCGGTTCAGCCCGGTTCAGACCCATTGGACCGATTCAGCTTTAATTTTATGTTTCAGTCCCGGTTCTTGATTTCAGTACCATTTTCAGTTAAAATTCCGAGTCCAGTTCAGTTCAGAAAAATTAATGTCAGTTCAGTTTCGTATTTAACCGGTTCCAGTTATACCGATTAAATCCGAATATCATATCGAGTCTAGTAGAGCATCTTAACCTAATTAATCAGTTAATTTATCAGTCTGAGCATAGTCATTAGTAATTGTTTATATTATATTTCAGTTTGATCAGGCATCAGTCGTCAGCACTACCTTTCATTTTCACGGATCAAGTGGGGACTCAGACTAAGTACTACATTGATTATAATTACGCTACCATGTTTGAGGTATGTATTATCAGTATCCGCTCGGAATGGTCGCCGGTCCATTCTGGGTTCTAGTGGTCCTAATCTGCCCACTAGAGTGTGGTGTCCGGTATTAGTTTGTGCCGGCAGATGTTCAGTTATCATTCAGGTGATCTATATCACGAGATCAATATCAGATTATTCAGTACCGGTATCAGTTATCAATTCAGTTTCAGTTCAGTTATATATGCCAGGATCATGATATTGTTATTATATTCACTGTTTACCTTAGTATGAGTTTCTGCGGAGCACAGTGTAATAGTGCTCACGCCCCCACGTTATTCATATTTTTCAGGTTTCAGAGTCTGAGACGACGAGTGAGCTGGCGAGCGGTTCAGGATATTTGTTCATATGTATATTTTATGTTTGGCTACACCAGAATTCCGCTACAATTTTCAGTACTCTAAACCAGCTTTTGACCCGACGTCAGTCGGTTAATATGTTTTATAAACCGTTTTTTATTATCAAATTAAAGTTAACGGTTTTCAGAATAAGTCAGATTTTACGGTAACACTTCGAATCAGTTTTCGCAAAAAGAAATATTTTATTTATTTTAATTAGAAAATTTGCGAAAAGCGTACTCTGATTTCAGTAAATAGTGGGGTGTTACACACGACTTGGAGCTAGCAGCGGTAGTTCATGCATTGAAGATTTGGCGACATTATTTATATGGTGGTCGATGCGATCACAAGAGCTTACAGTATATTTTCACTCAAAAGGAGCTCAACATGCATCAATGTCGTTGGTTGGAGCTTGTCAAAGACTATGATTGCACTATTAAATACCATCCGGGGAAAGCGAATGTCGTTGCTGTTGCCCTAAGCCGCAAGGTGAAGGG